GGATCCAGCGTAATCCCAGATCAAGGAAGAAGAGTTGCTATCCATCCCGCCATGCAGAATCCGCGTTTGTCTGGAATGCTGCTGCGCACTACCGTACACGATTGGACAGACAACTGCTGTGATGAAGCATGTGGAGACGTATCATCAAGAAAAAATACAGGAGTACTACAGGGACAAAGATAAAAAGAAGCCCCGCGGAAACAAGAGAGACTCTTCCAGTTCATATTCAAGTGCGCCCCAAAAGAAAATTAAGGCGCTCAGCTCCGAGGACCAACGACTGGTTGACAGAAAGCTAGCCATTTGGCTCGCGCGATACCAGCGACCTATGGCCCTCGTAGAAGACGAAGGATTTCGGTCGTACCTGAAGTTGCAAACGATCTTGATAGCATCAAGCGTCACGTTCCCATCGAACCGAACTGAGAGACAACAGCATTGGCTTGGCCACAGATTTTTGATCGAAGTTGCAGGCGATTCTGAAATACGATTGTTTAGACTACTGCCTGACGACCGATATTTGGACAGATCTGCGTCAGCGTAGTTTCATGGCCGTAACATCCACTACCTGGTTGAGCATTTTGTTATGGCGAACTGGACTCTCGAAGCTGAACATTGCCTGGATCTCACACAGGTGAAGTGATTGCTGCTGCTGTCGATGATGTGGTCTCTCGCTTGGGGTTGCGAAAGGGAACGTGTGCTGTGCTACTCCGAGATGGCGCGGCAAACGCGGTGTCGGCTGGAAACATACTTGGCGTCTATCACTTGCATTGCGTCGCGCATGCACTCCATCTCATAGTCGCTGGTGCGCTAATAAAGAATAAAAGGGAGACGAAATTGCGATAAGAGAAATCTTAGCCAAGAAAAGCACTCCCGTAGCTCCACTTCTCACTGAGGAAGAGCAAGCTGAGGCGGCAGCAGTTGAAGCCCTGCGAGATAGTGCTATCGACGAGATTGATCAACTCGTAAGTGACGAACTGTCGGCGAGTGAACGTGATGCAGTGGCTAAAACTAGAAAACAGTCGGCATTTTTCGTTCATTGGCAGTCTACTTTCACAAGTCGCAAGTTGGAGCAAATCGACTGGCGATGTTTCAGAAAGAGGACCTGGGAGTAACTGTCCCCTTATCAACCGTTGTGGATTGCACTACAAGATGGAGCAGTACATACGATATGCTTGTTCGCCTTTTGCAGCTTGAGATGGCAGTAGATAAGTTTTTCGTTCACGTGGCTCGTCCTGAAGGCAAGAAGGAGTTTCCACGGCTACGATTGACTCGTCCAAAATTGGAGGACTGGTTAGCTATTGACTCCTTGTTGGAGCTTCTTGCGCGGGTTGCGTTAGCGACGAGAAAACTTAGTGGCGAGAATTACCCGACACTAGCAATGACGTATCCCTTTCTAACGATGGTTTGCAACGAACTAGAGTAGACAGATCTGTTTGATGGTAAAGGCAGTTCTTGTGATCGTGAATCTGCAAACAGTGTGCAATTGGAGATGGATTTTGTGCGAGGTGCTTTTCTTAAACTTTTTGAAAAACGCTTGGGAAAACTAAAGACGGCAGGATGTGGATTTCTTGTCTGAACCCATTTTTTTTTCTAAAATGGGTCACTTGCACTGAAGAAAAAGGGCTGACAAGGCAGCAGATTCTTGGTGCTATGATTAACGTTACTAGAACAGTTGGTCAACTGGCTGCAGCAGAGAGCCGCACCGCCCGGCATTCATGTCCCCTCCACCAAAGCAAAGAGATGCTCGAATGCTTCGTTCGATTGGCTACGGAGTCGATACCTCCAATTCCGATGATGAAGAAGGCGTTGGTGCATCTGAAGACATGAACATTACTATCGAATGCGAGTCGGAGTTAGCGCTGTACTGGAAGTATGCTGCGAACATTTCCAGTGAGAGCAATCCTCTGACGTGGTGGAAGCGGAAGGCAGCTACGTTTCCTGTTATTGCTCGTTTGGCGCGCAAATGGCTCGGTTGCGTTGCAACCTCGGTTCCATCGGAGCGCGCTTTTTCTACCAGTGGCAATGTGGCGACCGCGAAGAGAACATGTTGTCGACCGGTATGATTCGAGACTTGGTCTTTATCGCCGAAAACAAAACGCTAACCGAGTAGGGCAGTAGCAGCTACTGCATGAGCTCATTACATGCATACAAACTCAAAGATTATGTTCAGGGTAGATTCAGGATCTGTTTCGAAAGCATAACATATCAATTCATAACGTTTGCGTTGAATCCGTCTGTTGCCAACAACGTTGACACCTCTACTCAGATACGACAGTATTTCGCCAGCCGTACCACTCTGATTTCAGCACTGTACACACGGTGAATTTGGATTTTCAAATCTAGCTGCGTCGTCCCTTGAGCATTTACTTCCCCCTTTGCAGATGTCGTACACTTCAGAGCGGCACGAACTTCTCAGCGATTTGGATGCCGCCTGCGCCATCAGCATCGCCAATGGCGATGAGAATGAGACGGACATGCTATGGGTGATGTTCCTATCCGTTTTTACAAGCCGATATCTGTGTGATCGCGTCGGATCGCCTCATCGACGCGTCGAGTTTGATGCCTTAATGGCGTTACCAGACAACGATTTTCGACAGCTGGCACGGGTATCCAATTCTTCATTCGCTGTCCTTCATGACTACATCTACTACAATGACATTTTTCACTCGGCAGATCCCAATGTAACCCACAAACAAAGATCTGTGTCCGTACAGCTCACCGTCTCTCTTGCCCGCCTCGGTGAAAACGGAAACGCCGCCAGCGTTGGTGAACTCCATCGACGGTTTCGAATAGTTACTGGATCAGTCGTCATTTATACTACTCGAGTCTTACTCGCTCTCAAAACGGTACGCCAACAGTGAATATGGACTTCTCGAGCTAGAAGGCGTGAAATTTCAGCCGTGTTGGCTGCATAGGGCTTCCCTGGCTGCGTAGGATTAATAGATGGAACGACGTTGCCGCTCTCACAACGCCCGGCGGTAGATGGAAGCAGCTACTGGGACCGAAAAAAAA